CACAGCCCTGGGATGTGACTGTCACTCGTTCCTGCAGGTGTGGGATGGTGCCACAGTCCCACAGAGGGAGCTGCAGCCCGGGGAAAGCGGCGCTGGAGAGGCTGAGCCTGGACAGGTCCCGTTCCTCACTCCCACTCTGCAGCCTCGGGTCCTCAGCTGAGCCAGGATCCTCTGGGACAGACTGTGCTCACTTTGTGCTCAGCCCTGCTCACTTTGTGCTCAGCCCTGCTCACTTTGTGCTCAGCCCTGCTCCAGTTTATCTCCTCTCCTTCCCCTCACCCTCCCCTGGAAACCTTAAAACTCCTTTGGGGTTTTGCTTTTCTGCCTGCTGAGTTGTGTGCTGAGCAGAGCCTGTGGGGACAGGGAGGCTGCAGGAGCTGCTGGGGGGACTGGGCTGTCCTGGCCGTGGCTTCAGGGTGAGGTGTGAGCCTTCCCCAGCCCGGCTCCTGCTCTTCCCTTCAACAGGGACAAGTCTTTATTTTGTGGTGGTGATGGATGCTGCTCTGCAGAGTTTATCCCTCCTCCTTGGTGTGCAGGGTCAGGTTTAGGTTTGTGGTGGCAGCGTGGGGGTTCTCCTGGGGGGATCAGAGCCCTGCAGGCTCCCTTGGTGCTCAGGGATTTCGGGATGTGCCCCCAGCTCCAGCAGGGACAGCAGGACAGTGCCTGGCTCTGAGCTCCTGTGCTTTGTTTGTGCCTTGGATCACACTGGGGAGGGGATGGGCCTTCGTGTGCCATTTGGATATCGTGTTTTACCTTATTCACAGCTCCTCACTTGCTTGTTTTTTAAGTATTTTTTCCAACTTTTACAAAATAAAGTTCTGTTTCTTTACCTGGACATTGCCCAGCATTGCATTTGTGCAGCAAAAATAGGAATTTGTCTGGTTCTTGTTTGCAGAGCCCCAGCTCTGCTGCTGTTCCCTGCAGAGTCCTTATGGATCCAGCCCTTTCCTATTGCTGGGGATCAGGCTGCCAAATCTGCCTCTCCTTGCTTGATTTGTACACTGATAAAGCAGGGTCTGTGTATGAATTATTTTCAGGCAGATCATCTATTCCTTAAATCCTTGTTTCACCTAAAGTCTCCCATGGTAGCCCAGAGGCCCAGAATGTTGAATTATCCTGCCTGAACATGCAATTCTTCCCCAAAATGCAGGTGGGAAGGTGTCACTCGTGGAAACATTCTGTGGGATGTCTCCTCGGGGTGAGCACTCTGCAGCAGGGCTGGCTGCCAGCTCCTGCTCAAACATCACATTTCAGAGCTCACCACTAATGTTCTCCAGCAGATTTACTATCCTGGAAACTTCAGTTTGCCCTTTTAATCATTTTTTTCCGCCCAAAGATATCAGGGTTTCACAGGATCCAGCCCTGAGCACAGATCATTAGGCTGAGGGTAAATAAATCCCTGCACACGTGTAGGAGAAATCTTACCATGAGTTGGGTGAGGGCAGATCACGAGTGGAGTTCAAGTCACACATGCTCTGGGGTGAAGAGCAGATGTAAAACCTTGGGCTGTGCTGCAGCTGAAATGGAAATTGTGCTTGTAAAATGCCTGTAAAATCAGCTCTTTGCTCGTTCCTGGCTCTGTCCTTTGCCAAATCCAACAGATCCCAGCTGCTGAAGATGTCACACCCCCTGCAATCACTTTGAAAATCCAAGAAGTTGATTCGATCTCGTCTCCCTTCACCAGCCTCTTCCAAGATCATCCCAGTGCCAATTACAACCTTAGAGATGTTGTCACCACATTCTTGCAGTGTTTGGAAAATATTCCAACTGTTCTGCTGCCATAAGCAAATATTTACTCTGATGAAGGGGTTTTGATGACAAACATATGTGTTCTCTCTGATTCCTGTATGTTTCAAGATTATTTCTTCAAGTTCAGGAGCAGAGTTTAAAGACCATGATAGAGAATTCTCCTTCTCTGTGTTTGCTGAGTGTCAGAGCTGCTGTCATCCTGCCAAGAGCTCCCAGAGGGAGCCTTTAAAGGGCTGGAATTCCACGATGGAAATTTGTTCCTCTTTGCAGTTTCCCCATCTCTGGAGGCAGAATTTTCCCTCTTGGTTTAGGATCTGTAAAGGTGGGGACAACGAGAGTTGCTGAGTGAGCTGTGGGCTCGGCAGCTGCCACACAGGAACGTGATCCCCATCGAGATACCCGGGAACAGCGTCCTTCAGGCTGCTCGCTGGAAGGAAATGCAATAAAAGATAAATGCCAAGGAATCTGGAGACTAAATTCCACCACAGTGAAAACAGCAGGGCTCTGCTCTTCTTCCTACTTTGAGGCATGCTGCTTCCACGTGGAGCAGGCGATGCTGCAGCCAGCCAGGAAACGCGTGCATGACGCGTGAAAAAGAGGTGTTGCTCAAGAGATGCCTTTTTTTTGAGTTGGCTGATAAAAATAGACAGACCAATAAACGGGAGGTTTGCTTCTAGTTTCTCTGGCTGCCGGGGACGCTTATGAACTTTGCATTTCTCTGATAAGCTCGAGAGTCATAGTGGATAATTAACCAGGTCCTGGGCTCTTAAAGCAATCCCGTAACAGAGGAGGTTAATAGAGAGCAGCACGTGGTGCACCCCTTGCATGAAGAGGGAAAGGAACTCGAGTGCTTTGGAAAAGTCACTGTCACAGCCACAGCTCTGGGAGGATGAGCTCTGAGGAGTGCAGCAGTGCCTGAGCCAGTGATCCCTGCAAGGTAGGAAACAGCAGCATGGGCCAGGGCAGAGCTGGGCAGGTTTTTGGGTGCAGGAGGGTGCAGGTTATGGGTGCAGGAGGAGCAGCATGGCTCAGGGCAGAGCTGTGCAG